TAGCTGGGCTAACTCCCATATCTTATTAGTGAGTAGAGAATCCATCTCCCCCTACATAGTATGCTCCCACTGCTGAGATTCACTCACTTGCATTGCCTCTTCATAGCATTCCGGCTCACCGCTATCTGTCAACAATAGGCAGTCAAGAGATGAAAGATATCTGGGATTTGGTTTGGGTACCCTGGATGACCTTCTAAGCTCCACACCCTGGGTAGTTGCTTCTGCACCTGGAGCTTCCTCCTTTCTATGGTCAGAACAAACATCATCACCCCTATCTGGAAGTTTCTCTAAATCCATGTACTCGGATCCACCTGTATCCGTAGTGCTGCTCCCACTACTTTGGCTATCCTTGGTATTTTCCCTATTCTTGTACATCACATCCTCATTAAATATCACGTCCCTGCTTCTGATGATCTTCCTGTTTTTCTCATCCCAAAGGTGATACTCGAACTCATCAATGTCGTATCTAATGAATGTGCACTTCTGTGACTTAGCCTCTAGCTTGTCTCTGATGTGGTCACTGATATGAACATAAGCCACGCAACCAAATACTCGTAAGTGTGAGAGATTTATCTTCTTTCCACTCCAAACCTCCTCTGGAATCCCAAAATCCAATGGAACTGATGGTCCGTGATTAATAAGGTAAGCTGTCGTATGCACCGCATCCGTTCAAAATGTCTTAGGCAGACCTACATGTAATCGCATGCTCCTGGCACGCTCTGTCAAGGTTCTGTTCATCCTCTCTACAATGTCGTTCTGCTATGACGTCCCTGGAGTAGTCCTCTCTAACCGAATACCGTTCGTAGCACAGAACCTCTTGAACTCCTCCAACTCGTATTCTCCACCATTGTCCGATCTCAGACACTTCACCTTCAGATCTGTCTCGTTCTCCACCATGACTTTCCACTTCTTGAAGACTCCGAACACCTCTGACTTGTGCTTCATGAAGTAAACTCACACCTTCCTCGAGTGATCGTCGATGAAAGTGACATAATATCTCGAACCACCAAAAGAAGACACACTGACTGGACCCCATACATCTGTATGAATCAACTCTAGCTTCTGAGCCTTAGGTGACCTTTCACCTTTCTGGAAACTAACTCTCTTCTGCTTCCCAAAGATGCAGTCTTCACAAATCCCAACTTCCACGGAATCTATCCCGGTTAGCTTTCCCTATGAATGTAAGATCTCCATCCCCTTCTCGCTCATATGCCCTAGCCTGTTGTGCCACAGATCTGTACTTTCTTTGCTAGCTACAACTGCGAGGGTGCCACTCGCATGTAATGTGAGGTAGAGAGTTCCTAGTTTGTTACCTCGAGCAAAAACCATTGTACCGTTGGAGATTCTCTACGAATCCCCTGTGAATATCGAAACATAGTATTCTGCTCCAAGCTGTCCTACCGAAACAATATTTCTCTTTAGCTTCGGCATGTGTCTCACATTCTTCAAGGTCCACTTAGAGCCCTTCATCTGAAACTGCACTTCACCCTTTCCAACAATATTACAAGGCTCGTTATTCCCCTAATATATTTTTTTAAAGTCCCCTGCTACATAGTTCTGAAAGAGCTTCCTGTTAGTAGTAGCATGGAAAGAGGCTCCTGAGTCGATGACCCAAGAATCCAAGTCGCTATCCATAGCAAGGATCAAAGCATCCTGCACGATATGAGCCTCCTGCTCACCCGCATCCTTCTTTGGACTCTTGCAGACTGAAGACATATGGCCCTCCTGGCCGTAGTTCCAACACTTCCCTTTGATAGGCCTAACCTTTGAGTTTGGTCTCTTCTTCGACTTCGACCGATTCCTGTTCTGGTTTCCTTTCTTCTGGTTTCTGCCTCTTTATTCGAAATTTAGGGCTGAACCTGAACCTTCTGATTCAGACGATTTCCTTCTAACCTCCTCGGATAGAATCATGCTAACCACCTCACTCAGCTTCAACTTCTCTTTGCCCATCGAATTGCTGATTGCCGTCACACAACCTGCCCAACTATCCGGCAACTGTGATAGTAACAGTAGGGCCTGCACTTTGTCATCAAATGTGATGTCTACGGAGATAAGCTGATCAACAATCGTGTTGAACTCGCTGAGATACATCGTGAAGGACCGTCCTTCTACCATCTTGAGATTGAAAAGAATCTTGACGAGATGCACCTTGTTTACTGCCAATGGTTGCTCGTACATCTTCGCTAGCGCTTCCATAAGCCCCACTGTCGTCTTCTCCTTCAAGATATTGTGGGCTACTGATTTGGCGAACGACAACCGGATTTGTCCTAGAGCCTTCCTATCCAGTATCTCCCAATCACCATCTGACTCCTCTTTCTTCTGTCCCTTTTCCTTGCCCATCAGCGGGCGATACAAGTTCTTCTGGTATAGATAGTCCTCCATCTGCGACTTTTAGTAGGCGAAGTCTGAGCCGTCAAACTTCTCGATCTTTGATTTGATTTTCTCTGCCATGGCTTTCACATAAATTGCTGAACGAAGCTCTGATACCAGTTGTTGGGGATTCGAAACAATCAAATCGAACCCTTGCCCTTCCGGACCTTGTGTTGAAAGTAGGAAAGTAGGAAAATTTACCACAAATAAAGATCAAAACTTGTAGAAACAATAAAGGAGACGAACACAGAGATTTAATGAGGTTCGGCAACGTGCCTACGTCCTTGGGAGCCACACCACACAACTCTTTTATTAATTGAAGAAGAAATATAAGCTCTCAAACTAGGGTTTTATCTCTCTGAGATTCTCTCTCTTTTTCTACCGTCAAAAGCTCTCTTTTTCGTGTTCTTGTTAAACCCTAAAACGTTTAGGTATATATATAGAATCCCAAAAGATACAGAACCCAAAACAGATTAGGAAACTGTCAAACTGCGTCGCGGTCGACCGTGGCGGTCGACCGTGCAGGTATCGCGGTCGACCGCACAGGTATCGCGGTCGACCGCACACCAATTGCGGTCGACCGTATCAAAAACTCGAGACCAAAAATCCTACAGGGTTGGCGCGATCGACCGCCGCGGTCGACCGTCTTCGGATCCAGCTCCTCCTGAGCTCTTGTGCACGTTCGCGATCGACCGCCGCAGACTCGCGATCGACCGTGGATCTGTCTGACAGTTTTTCTTCGTCATTTTGATTCCAGCTTGGCTTCAAACTTTGGGTCTACACTTTAGACTAACAACATTATATATTTTTGGGATGACAATTTGGAAAAGCAAAAGGTAATAAAAGAAATAAGGGAACATAATAGTGAAAAGAGAGGGATAAGAAAACTTTGTAGACGATGTGTTTGCTCTATCTCATTATCTTCTTTGTCCTCTCATTCCTTGTTTACGGTATCTCATGTCATATCTTAAATTGTAGCAACGCACTCTCCATGTCCTAAGTCTAGGTTTGGCAGTAGTTATAAAATGCTTGTAGGGATTCGTCGGAAAAAGGAATGATAGCTACTATTTTTTATAACAGGATTATTAGTTACTCGTTGGATTTCTTCGAGACATTTTCCGTTAAGTAATTTATACGAGTCATTAATCTTCCTTTCATGGGGTTTTTCCATTATTCATATGATTTCCAAGATACGGAATCAGGAAAATGATTTAAGCGCAATAACCGCCCCAAGTGTCATTTTTATCCAAGGTTTCGCTACATTGTGTCTTTCAAGTGAAATGCATCAATCGTCAATATTAGTACCTGCTCTATAATCTCACTGGTTAATAAGGGAACATGATAGTGAAAGGAGAGGGATACGAGAAACTTTGTAAACGATGTGTTTGCTCTATCTCATTATCTTTCTTGTCCTCACATTCCTTGTTTACGATATCACCTGTCATATCTTAAATTGCAGCAACGCACTCTTCGTGTCCTAAGTCTAGGTTTGACAGTTTTCATATCAAGTGCTTGTATATATAGCAAAGTGGGATAGTTAGTTATTTGTTATAAGAATATTAGCCCATTAGTCAGTATTCATAAAGATAAAATTATATAACTTCTTTTCTCATCCTGAATGATATCTGAATCACGCCTTTGACCAGATATTTAATCCAACGATGCAATCCCCATTGCATATATCTTTTGCTTTCTATCTAAAACTTTCACTTCAAAGTTGCTTCTTTTTTTCCTTTTTATAGCCACATTGGCATTGAATTACATACACACAGAATTAAATTATTTGCATTGATGAAAGCAGATATTTGTGTGTATGTGGGGCAGGAAAAAAAAATCTAAATAGAGCAGCTGCTAAAAGAATTAATTATCACGTATACGTGTATCGAGGCACCCAGTCCCAACACTTTGCTTTGCAAACGTGGGCCTCAAGCCCCAACGTTTGTAGCAAAATGTGGGCACCAACAGCAACGTTTGCTACCAACGTTGGGATGCGTTGATGTTTCCTAAAACTTCCTTGTTGTCTGTTAGCTGAAGTTGCCAAACCAGCGTTTGTTCAAACGTTGTTTTCCAGTATAATAACGTTTAGAAAATGTTGCTAGCTGCGGTTTAAAATGTTGTTAGGTGCTAGTTGTTTAGTAGCGAATCACCCTTCGAAATCCAGCTTCATATGCAAACTTCGAAAGTACAGTTAACAACTGATACATGGTAAATTCATTAGTTGTATATCCTTTTCCTACGTAAAATTTTTTGTCATTGCTATGGTTTTTCTTGTGTTGTGGTGTAAATTACATTAACCAGATAATTGACATTTACATTAAAGTTGAGCATGCGCCCAAACTTTTTTGTGGCAATCACCCCAAAATTAGGCCCTGGTCGGTCCTAACCCTATTTTAAAACTAAATCAGTTCTGTTTTGGATCAGTGAGGAGGTGGTAAAAAAAAAATACCAGTTTAAGAGGCCAAATTTGATATTAGAAGGCCGGTGCTGGCCCAGTTTTACTCAAACACAATTTATTTGCACATATATCCTTAATGATCAATATTTGCAAAAATATTCTCTAAATCTCATTATTTGTAAAACTGCCCCCAAGTCTCACACATTCAAGTATGCAGGTGTGTATGTGAACCCGGATCCGCTTATCAATGGGCAATACTCGTAAAACATTTCACTCCTGTAGACCGATATCGCCCCAACTAAACCCTAAATACCGAAACCCTAAAATCGCAGCCGAGATCGCCGGCGAGACGATCAGATCTCTCCTAATTGCGGCGGAGACGGCCATGGGTCCCACCTCCATCTCTCATCTCTCCCAATTCCTCGCCGCCATCCTCTTCTTCCACGGATCCGAGTACGCCCTCGCCGTTTTCTTTCACGGCCGATCCAACGTCGCCGTCAGCTGTAAGTTCTTTGAGTCTCGTAAAATTTTCAACTTTTTCTTTGTTACAAGTTTGATCATTGGGCATTTATTGCAGCGCTCTTGATCAGCAAGCAGTATGTGATCGCGATGGCCTGCGCTCTGTTGGAGTACTTGTCAGAGGTGGTTCTGTTTCCAGAATTGAAGGAGCATCGTTGGATCAGCGGCGTTGGTGTTTTGATGGTTTTGTTGGGGGAGATCGTTAGGAAAGCTGCCATAGTGACAGCTCGTCGATCCTTCACGCATAATATTAGAGTGCACTATGATCAAGATCATCACTTGATTACTCATGGGATTTATAGGTAATTTATATGATCATAATTCTAAAAGACCCTTAATTTTTCGGGTGTCATTTTGTTAGTATACCCCACATTGAATGGTAACAATAGTAGGTTTAGTCACACTAGGCATTATTTGGTTCATATCATGCATTGTAAGATTTTCATGTTTGCAAGCTAATAGGACATTCTTGAAGTATGATACTAAATTGCTGACTGGTTGAGGTACTTATGTTTGGAATTGATGTTGACGAGTGACCGAAATTACAAGCGATGAAATTTATTGATCTTCTAAAAGCTGGAGGAGTGAATGTAGATACTCACTGGTGTAAGAACTCAAACATTGATGAAGTGGTTTCTATTAAAAGATTATAGCTCCTGAAAGGCTTCCTTTAGTATCTTTGCCATAGATGTCCCATTTCTTTGAAACACAAGAGACCGATAAAAGGGTGCTTTTTAGGAAGCTGTTATCAAGGGAGCTTATATTAATTAACATGGCATTGCTTCTAGAACTTGTTTTGCTCTATCTAGAGTTTGAATTTTGAGAGCTTTGATGGTACTTAAAATGAGAACATGAGTGCTTGTTTATGGTATTCCGGACTCTCTATGTCGAAGGGGGAAAAAATCTTGTTTGTTCATAACATGATAAACTTACCAGTTTGGCTGGAAGAAAACGTGTTCTTTAATATGGTATAATGTTGCATAAGATTTTTCTTTCCTTTCCATTAATATCACAACCTACTAATTAAGGTGACTAACATTATAATGTTTTATTTATGCAATCAAACAGATACATGCGCCATCCAAGTTATTGTGGCTTTTTCATCTGGGCAATTGGAACCCAGGTTATGCTTTGCAACCCTCTCTGCACTATTGCATTTGCTGCAGTCACCTGGAGATTCTTCTCAAGTCGCATACCATATCCTTTTCTTGAAATACTCTGAATTAATTGTGTTGATATCTATTGTTGAGTTCAACCAAAATATTTTTTATTTTCCTACAGCTTATTAGCATTATTTAACAGTTCTCATCTTTAGAATTGTTAATCCTTCACTTATAAATAGATATGAAGAGTTTTTCTTAAGACAGCTTTTTGGGCCCCAGTATATAGAATATGCACGGCGTGTTCCTTCTGGTCTTCCTTTTATAAAATGAATGCCTGCCAAATTGTAAGAGTATACTTTCACTCTTTATTCAGTTTATTCGTCCATTGATCCTTAACGATGATTTCTATCATCAGTTAGTAAATAAATATAGAAACTGTCTAAAATTATATGAAATTATCTTAGGTATTCTGTGGATGCAGGTAGGCCTATTATCAAGTGTAGAGAATTTTTGTTGGTCTCACTAAATTACATGAGCTGGCTCCCCAGAGGACTGCATAGCATATGGCAAAAGTTTAATTTATTTACAGAGCCAACAGGATGGATGGAAACAGGTAGAGAATAATTAGAGATCAAGCTTTCTATTTGGTGATCCTGAGGATAGAAAGGATATGAACTTGAGCATCTTAAATTAGCTTTAAATGGTCTATTTACTCGGTGCTCGATTTGTTAGAGGCTAATGCAGTGAGGTACTGGTGTGGATGCTGAGGCCGGGTGCCAGGCCCAATCTTGCTTATATTGGAACGTTACGATCTTTCAAAATTTTCTTGTATATTCATATTAGCCAACATCTCCATGTATTGAGGGCATTATTGTTTACTGTTAGCACTTCAAAGTAATTTCAATATCTGGTGATTCTTAAAATTCTGTGATGCCTTTGTTAGGAACCCAAAACACGGGCAAGTTTGTGGTAAGGATTTATGCGATCTGCGGCAGCACAGCGGACATGTTATGGATATAGAAGTTGTTAATTTTTGAAGACGTTTTAGGGTCCGTTTCAAGATTTTTTTTTTTTTTCCATCGTATATCCATTTCCTTTTGGCGTTGTTTATTATTCTGATGAAGTTTTTAGGAAAACCATAAATACTTATTCGTGTATCATTTAAATTCTTTTTTCTTTTCCTATTCTTGTTGACTATTCTGAACCCCTATTGCTTACAGGAGAAAACTTAAAGAGAGAACACTGTCGATGCAAATACTTCCCCAGTTATTTTATTTTTTAAGTTGGATGCTCGACGGTAGTTTATTTATCAACTAGTATCATTGATCGTTTCCAATCCTGCGAATTCATTTACAATGCAAGATTGCCAAGGCCCGTGGATTGGGCTGCCCCTTTTGTTAGGAATAAAAATTTCATAGAATCAAGAGAGGAACAGGACGAACTAGGGCTTTAGTTTGACAAGTCCTATCAGGCATCCCAAGTTTTCTGCAAAAGGTAATAAGAGTTGTTTTATATGCATTGATACAATAGCCCAGGCACTGATTTTGAAGTCGATAATTGCATTGATACAATAGCCTGATACATATTATGATTGTAACGGTATTTTATATGCTGGGGGAGTCGTTTTAGATTTTGTAGTTGGACATCCTTTCTATATGAAATTCGATGAAGGGCCCTGTATGGTGGTCTTTCGACAAAAGGGAGGTGTAGGATTGTCTTAGAGAGCTCTCGAAGGAAGTTGAAAGAAAGAAAAGGATGGCATCTAACATATCAATGCAATTGATGTCAGTACATATATCTATCGGTATAGTCATTATTAATAAAGTTATATGTTTACCAATGAAGTCGCTAGCAGTATAATCACAACTGAACTGATAAATGTTATTGATAGATATTAGTGATATGAACAAGAGCGGAACCATATAGGCACAAGAAAAAGACACCTATTAAAAAGTACAGGGTATACACTTAGTTGCACTTAAATACCCTATAGTTTCCTCTACCTTGCATTTATATATACTCAATTATTTTGTTGCAAACTAAAACTTGCACTTATATATCCTCACTTATTTTTTAGAGCTCTTATATATGTTAAAGGTTTTTTAAACTTGCACTTATATACCCTAAAGTTTTTAAAACTTGCCTTATATATCTTCAGTTATGCAACCCCCACCACCACCACCACCACACAGACACCCACCCACCCCAAAAAAAAAAGAAAAAGAAAAAAGTTTCCATGCAACATACCAATTTCAAAACTTATAACCCTTTTTTAATTAAATTTACTGTTTAAACTGTCCAAATTCTATTCTAAAATAGGATTTGAATATGCCTAACATTAATTTTAACAAATATAAGAGTTAAAAAAGTTCTAAATTAGCATGAAAGTTCACATGAGAATTTCCAAGTGGAAATATTCACATTTGCATAACTGAGAGTATTTAAGTGCAAGTTTTAGAAATTTGAGGATATTTAAGTGCAAGTTTTAAAAACTTTAAGGCAATATAAGTATTGTCGAAAACAAATGAGTGTGGATAAGACGATAAGTGTAGGTGTTAAAAACTTGAGGGTATACAAGTGTTGCCAAAAAAATTGAGGGTACATAAGTGCAAAGTAGAGGAAACTATAAGGTATATTTTAGGTGCAATCAATCCATTAATATATAATAACTATAAGTGCTAAATTGTAAATCTCTCGAACAAAAAATAATAATCCTCCTCGTTTTTTTTACGCAATTATTGTAATTTGCACGAGACAGCGATTCTAAACATGGAAGATAATTTTGTGAACTGTAGACCAAAACGTGGAGCTTAAGTGTCTACAAATATAATTTATAACATTGATTTACAAATATAATGAAACAGCTTTAAGAAATAAAGGCAAGAAAAATGCCATCGTAAACACTATATTCTAATTAGAAACAAGTCTCGTTTCGTAATGATCTTCAGATGCTAATTAATTATGCAAGTTTTTATTTTTTTATACGTTACCGTGTTTTTAAGTTTTTTGGACCCTCTTTGCTAAATTTCTTGGCCCCTGCCAGTAGATATGAACGTCGAGATTTAAAATATTTAGATGTAATGTCCTCTTTGACGTGTGATAGTTTCTATAGGGGCTGCATGATTTTTTTTGGCTTTGGGTGATCGCATGTAACTTTTTTATGCGGGGTATCCAGACTCAAAAGAAACGGCCTGCTATCCACAAGTAACAAACTTCAGCCCAACCCCAGCCAACCAAAATCTCTCCCATCACACAAGCACAGAGAGAGAGAGAGAGAGAGAGAGAGAGAGACTACTAAGAAAATCAACCAGCTTTCTTCCCCCTTCAGCTCTCTCTTTACAATTCCCAGGTCCTCTAATGGCTTCTCCTTGTAAGTAGACCCAGAGAGAGAGAGAGAGAGAGAGGGAGAGAGAGAGAGAATCACAATATGGGCCTAAATGCAACAGCTAGAGCTGCAGCAGCAATCAACCTATTTTCTCCTTCATCTGAGCACTTATCAACTTCCCATGTAGCCCTTCACAAGGTACTCTAACTCGTTCTTACGCACTAAAATTACCATATTCCGTAACTTACTGATACTATATCAAGAACGTTAATAACCCATCTCATCAAATTCTACTGCAGTTTTCTTTCTCATCAAAACAGAGCTCATTCTGCAGAGGCCAATTCAATATCAGGCACAATTTTCATCTCTCTTTGAATCATAGTAGGAGGAGAAGACCGGGTAAAGAAATATCCTCTTTTTGGGCGTACGCCAATATATTCGTTCGGATTATTATACTTCATGGTTTCTATTGAATTTAATTTTCAGTATTACCAGTTTGTGTTATGCCATTGACTGAAGAAAATGTTGAGAAGGTTTTGGATGAGGTGAGGCCTGGACTAATGGCAGATGGAGGCAATGTGGCTCTTCATGAAATAGATGGTCTTGTTGTGGTCTTGAAGCTTCAAGGGGCTTGCGGGTCATGCCCGAGCTCAACAATGACGTTGAAGATGGGCATAGAAACAAGACTCAGGGATAAGATTCCAGAGATTTTGGAAGTTGAGCAGATCCATGATACTGAAACTGGACTTGAACTCAATGAGGAGAATGTCGAAAAGGTTGAGACTTATTTTAGACTTAAAAAGTTCAATATAACTGCAAAATTTGTTTTTTTCACTGCTATTGCTTTAGCTAGCTCTAAAACGATCACGTACTATGATAAGAACAAGTTGTGGACATTATTCTTTTAGCTCATGAGTGAATTAATTCATCTCTCTTGAGTTCCATGGTCTTCCCAAATTCTACACAACTCCTGTAATGAACTTAGATTCACTCTATCAGTCATATTCATGTCCAGAATTTCTGCAATGAAAGTTGCGCGCCAACAAATTTCTCAACTTGTTCAGAAATTTGCGGCACATTCAATATAAACACAATATTTTGCATTATCAAAAGATTCTTCCATTTAAGGAATGCACTCCATGGGGCATCTACTCATAAAATACTTCTCAATTAGAGAGCTTCTGCCTTAGTTTCCCATCAAATTGCTGTCTCCAGGGAACTAGGGACGAATAATTTCAATGTTTTACACCTCCATTTCCCCCTTTCTATCTATTTCTGAGTATTCTAACTCCATTATGGATGAACAATATGTTTAATGCAACCAATTCAGCTTCAACTTCACATTTCTATTTTTTTTCCAGCATTTGTTATACATTCTCTATACAACTCAAAATATTAGCAGTATTCTAAATTAGGGAATGAACCCCCTCTGATATTGAATCATTAAAAAAATTTAATTATTCTATAGAGCTTCTGCCTTCGTTTTTGTCACAATTCCCCTATCTCAAGTGAACTAGTAAGAATCTAACTTGAAGTAATTCTTTCAGGTTCTTTCGGAGATTAGACCATATCTAGCAGGCACAGGAGGAGGCATACTGGAGCTTGGGCAGATAAATGGCTACATGGTTCAGGTCAGACTGAGCGGACCTGCGGCAGAAGTCATGACCGTTCGTGTAGCCCTAACACAAAAACTCAAAGAAAAAATACCTTCCATTGCTTCTGTGCAACTCGTCGAATAACAATATATCAATAGTTCAATACATTCTGAGAGCACTCAAAGTTCATACTATTGTAGGATGAGCAATTGCGAGTTCTAAATTTTATTACTTCATAAAATCATTTCAAGAACTCTGGTACATATGTAACCAAACATGTTGTTACTCAAGAAAACATTTGTAGACATTTTTGCTTGTAACATATCGAAATGGACTGGAGTATTACATGGGTCTAAATTTTTCATGCCTCTGCGCCATAACTTACTTAGACAGTGGACATTTTTCCATCGCTCGACATTGAGGGATCCTCGAAATGTCTGTCGATCCTCTTGCTGTAATCGCTGAGAAACCCAAGCAATTGAGGCTCTTCGTAAATAAAGAGTCAATGACCTAAGCCTCCCTATTTACAGTCAGAAAAACTCTCCTCCTCCTCATCATGGTCCATCGACTGAGACTCCCCGATCCCTCCCAGGCTCTCCATCATCTTCTTCATCTCTTCAACCTTCTCCAGCTCCTTCAACTTGCCCAAAGCCCCCTCCAACACCATAAAGCTCCTCTCCGATGGCAATCTCCCTCTCTCAACCACCTGCTTAAAACACTCGAACGCCTCCGCCACCTTCCCACTGCAACACAATCCAATCACCAACAAATCCAACGCGTGCCGATGAGGGCAACACCCTTTATCCACCAAATAATCCCACATCTCTAGCCCTAAGTCCGACCTCCTCTTCTCACAAAAATACTTCATTAAGAGCATCACCGTTCGAACCCTAGGCACGTAGTCCCTCTCCTTCATCTTCCTATAAACCTCACAAACCCCATCGAAATCTCCGGCCTTCTTCATCCCACAAAACAAAGTATAGTAACTCACATCATCAACCCCAACGTCTTTCCTCTCCATCTCATCCATTATCCCAACCCCACCCTTCAAATCTCCAACCCTAACAACGGCTCCCATAAGCGCGTTATAAGCCCCCCTATCAACCTCCAACCCTCTCTCGGTAATTTCATCAAACACCCTTCGCGCGCGGAAGGGATTCCTCGCGATCCCCGCCCCGTGTATCAGCGTCGTCAGAACAGCCTCGTCCAACCTCCTCTTCTTACAATACGCGTCAATCCTGATGTTGTAAGTGACAACGTCAGGCTCGAACCCCCTGACGACCGCATCGTTGTAGAACAGATCAAACGCGAGTAAATTCCCCGAGAGCTTAAACCCCAGCAACAGCGTGTTCAAGGTTCTCGAATTAGGGGGGAAGCGGGAGTGGAGGAGGTTGAAGGCGGCCCGGGCGTCGGGCATCCTGCCGAGCGAAGGGGAGACGGGGGAGGATTTGGTGGCGGTGGAGGGTGCCGAGGGAGGGGAGGGGAGTGGAGTTTATGAGCTTGGCGAGGCGGGTGACGACGTCAGA